TCAAATAATTTTAAGTACCTATATATATTGTTTGGAATATGTTGTTTACATATTTAAAATTTCACGTGAATTGCTTTGTTTTGAAAAAGTTATACGTGTTTATATTATATAAATAATATTCCAAAATTTTTTGCACCATACTGTACATCCTAATGGTTTGACAAGTTAGATAAATTATAAAATCGGTTAATGAAATATTTTAAGAAAACAAATACGGAGAAACCTATATTGTATTAACGAACTAATGAGTTAATAAAATAAATATAGAATTAATTAGCCTTAGTTGTTATAATGTACAGTATTTGTTTTAGGAAGACAGATAAAATTTAAAATTTACCCCCCCTTGTTACAATATGTGAATATACAGTATAATAAAATAGATATCGAAATTTGCACATATGGAAAAGAAGTCAATACAGTATTTAGTTAGTATATATTGATAAGAGAAGATAGTAAATAAATAATAGTCGATAAATACTTACATCCCATAAATCCAGAAACCGCTTCTCCTATTATGTGTTGAATTAATATTTTTTAGGAAAAAGACAAACAATTAATTTTGCGTGAATAAAATAACAAATAAATAATGGTCGAAAAACATTACTTTTTCGAAGTCCAGGATGAGGATTTCCTATTATGTGTTAAATTAACATTTTTTAGGAAAAAGACAGACATAATTAACAAAAAAATGTAAAGTTTTGCGTGAACAAACAAAAATTAATTAAAGCTTACTTTTCATTGTAGCATTAGCCATGGAGAATAGAGTAAATAGAGTAACGAAAAGCAAGGTAGTCAAGAGTTTAATGTTCATTTTTGGGATATTTTCTTATTGATTCAAGTCCTTCAAAGTTAAAATTAATAATAATAATAGCCCTAATTAAATAACATTAATTTATTAAAAATGCCAACCTAAAAAAAAAATGATTCTACTTCAAAAAAAAAAGAATCACGTAAAAATGGTTGAAAGAATTTATTAGAGGTTTTTATAAGAGTAGATAGATTCTAAAAAACACTTTAATTATCAAAGCCATATTGCATCGCCATGAGAGTCTTCCAAGTGATATGGCTTGCACTAGTGTGACAACACTGCCTTGATCCTGGTTAAATTCACCGATATTATTCCATAACAGTATATTCATTGAGTCAGATATCAATCCCTCTATTATTTTATGATAGATACCGTTATTGAAAGTATGCCTTTTATCTGACTTAGCCAATACTGTATGCCTTATTTATCAATGTACGCAGCCACGGCATTATTATATCTCTTATAGTATAAAGTTTACATAGCCATCGTATTATTAATTCTTCTGGAGATTGTGTGAAGTGTACAAAACGCGAAAAGAGAATTATAGTAAGTGAATCAATAAATTCGAGAAGAGAATGAGTTAATAGCAATTATTGAATATTTAGTGTCCATAGCATTTGCTACTTGTATAATAAATAACATGAATTTATTTTATACGTTTATTGATTCTATATTTTTATTTAGTTTCATTCCATATGTTTAATCTATTTAGTTTATCTATTCTATTTTATCTAAAGAATTTATATTGTAAGGGAGTATCTTTCTCGCGTACCTGCATGTTATGAGATTACGAATTCACGGGAGTTTTGATTATCGCGATCATTAACCGATTATTTGTATGTACAGTACTGTAGTTCAGATCGGTTAATAAATATTTAAAGGAAAGCAAATTTAAAATTGATTGTGCTTAGAGTTCCCCGCCACCCACATCTTTATGACGAGCTGTGAACACTCTCACTATCAGAAGAATGATGCGTTAGCTGTGTAAACCCTATACTATCAGAGATGGAAGAATGGCTATGACACCTCGCACCGATTGCGGTCAACTCTCGATAAAAGAACCATTGTACAGTACAAACTTTCTATAATTAGTACAGTATTTTTAGCAGCGATAAAAGTGCATCAAGTTCGATAAATTATTTCATATTCATTCAATATAAGCACGAGTTTATATTTTGATAATTTCCTCAGCGAATTTTTTCAATTATTTTTGAATTATTCTCTCATTAGGATTTTCTATACATTAGTTGGAAAAGAAAAATATAAATAATTAAATTAAATTTTAAATTTTTTAAATTTTAGAATATATTTATCAATTATTAATTAGAGTTTTCAAATATTATTATGAATGTAATTTTGTTTTTGTTTTTTTTGAAAATGTGCAATTTGCCAAACATACTGTGATACTAAACCAAATTTTTGTGAATTGTAATTTTTCTAATTTTTGCGAAATTACATGTCAAATAATATATATAAATTTATAAATTATTGTTGTCGCAATTTTTGTTAAGATTATTTAGATTTGATATTTAGGATTAAAAATGATAATTGTTATCAAACTAAATTTAATATAAATTAATTATTTAGATTCATAATTAACAAATATAATTGATCTCGGGGTAAAACTCGCGCTGGTTTTTAACTACTGTAAATTTCAACAATAAAAATTTGTATATAAACAAACGTCTTTATTAAAAATAAATAAGAAGTCTATAAGCAAACACTTTTTAAAAAATTAAAATATTCTCTTATTTATATGTAAATTTTATTATGGGAATGTAATCGGGCTTTTAATTTGTGCGAAAAGTATAATGTTGATTACGCTTTCATATTCATGGACATTAAATAATACCTGTAAAAAAAGGATAATAAATAATACTCAAAAAAATAAACAAATAACATAATATATCAGAAAGTAATTTTGACAAAAGTCATTAGCCGTAGTATCTCTACATGTGTATGAATTTCTACATAAAAAAAGTCGTTCGTTATGAATAGCGACCAAACTTTATATCGACAAATAAGCATACGTTAACGGTTTTTAAACCAAAATTTAATCATCTTCTAACAGCTTTATCGCTATTTCCCCTATTAAACCTACTATATTCATCCAACCAATAAGATTAGAATTAAAACTTTCATTTTCCCTCTCTCTTTCCCTTTCTCTCTCCCTTTCTCTCTCTTGCTCCCTTTCCCTCTCCCTATTCCACTCCCTTTCCCTTTGTTTCTCTTTCATTAACTCTATCTTTCGCCTATGTTTCTCTTCAGTTTCTTTTCTTGCACTCTCTTTTAGCCTTTTTTCGTATTCCGACCTTTCTCTTCTATCCTCCTCTTCTTTCCGCAGTCGATCCTTCTCTTGTTCGCGCAGATTCTTTTCAAGCCGTTCAGTTGCGTAAACTCCCTGTATGTCATTTATTAATTCCTTGATTTCCATTAATCGTGCACCATAAACTGGGTCGTTAGGCAAGAATATATCGGGATTCGGAGAGATTCCCCAACGATTTCCAACATTTTGAATAAAGGACTGAACGGGCTTATTCCAGGCCTTCTTCATTTCTTCCTTACATTCGGTCTGCCTTTTATTTGCATGGGAAAAAACAGCGATGATATGATTTGTCGCGTCTTTTCCAAGAAAATCTCTTATTCTGCTCAAAACTTCCTTTTGTTCATTGGTAAAGCGATACGCTTCTAAGAAGACAATTCAAATTAATCAAAATCAGAAATACTGTATAACTAATCTAAGTCTTTGTCACTATCACATACCAAAAACAACAAGAATTGCTTTTACTCCATGATCACTTTTATTGACGGCTTTTGCAATTTTTTTAAGAGTTTCATCAATGTTTTGTTGGGTATCGAAAATTCCGGGCGTGTCAACAACATCATAAATTGTATTATTGATTAACGTAGTCGCTACGCAACATTCATCCGTGACCGACTCCTATACATATTTTTGTTATTTTTGTTATTACTTTAAATAATTAAGAGTTGTAAGAAGTACAGTATAAACTTTAGTACACACCATACTCGCTGAAGTATAAAAAGGTCCATCATTATGCGCTTTCCCGAGAAGACAGTTTCCTAAAGTACTTTTTCCTGAACCTAAATTGTTTTCCCTTAGTTAATGGGTAAAATAAAACGTAAGAAATAATATTAAATAGACAAGTCGCTTACCGGTTTTTCCTACTAAAAGTATTATCGGATTGGCAGTACGCATTTGGTTTTCAACTCTTCCCGAATTCTCTATAAAAAAACAATTTTTTTTCTATCTTTAGCTGGGAATTGGGATCTATTTATAAAATCTTATTTAGGAAACGAGTTTGTATTGCATCATTGAATCGAGTGCAAAGGTCTGATTAATACATACGTGTAGGTGACAAAAAATATTCATTTTTTTATACTCAAAGATATGAAAAACGAAACATAATATAATATATTAAAAAAAAATTTTTTTTTGTGATAGCGAATATAGACGTTATTTGTATGTAATAATTATGTAGTAAAATAAATAATCGATTTTAATATTGCAAAATATTTGTTTCAAGTATGTTAGCTGACAAACGCTTATTGATCATTTAATTATAAAAGTTTGTTACATTTAATGGCAGATCAAATTTTTCCATTGAAACAATTTGTAAAGCTTGGAAAGAAGAGAAAATCTTTTAATATCTATCAAAACAATGAAACGTACTCTTCATAAATTGGACTTCATGTATTACAAACTTTTCAATACAGTAGGAACTTATATCCTCTTACGCATGTATGGTACATCACATGGACGAACCAAACACCACAATCAATATTGAGAACCAGATCCGAACCTATCAACAATTGTTCAGTTTATTTAACTCGAAGTTTATTTTATAAAGGATTGTTGTAATCGATTTAAAAAATCTAAATATCATTTTAATTTTTTAAATCCATACAATTCTTACTTCAAATCAACTATTAGTACTTTAAGAAACTGTAGTTTATTCTTCAAAAACTCCATTTCCTTTAAAATATAATGTATGATTGGCTATAAAAAAAGGCACACTTACAAAGAATACTTGTAGCTTGTAGTGTAAAATAATCGGCTGCATCAAAGCTATATTAGATAAATGATAAGTTTTTATTTTATCATAATAACAGAAAGAAAATAAGAATATCATAAATCTCAATAATAATTCATAATTTTTTCAGCAAAGTTTCAAACTTAATGGATTAATAAAAATAATTGATTATTGTAAAAAGCAGTTCTATATTTTATTATTTTATTTTATTTCTTTAATTAATTCGATTTCAAAATACAGTATGTTTAAAAAAAGTTCTTGAACTTTATTTAATACTAAGTATACAAAAATAATATATACTGTATTTATTGTATATTGCAAAAATATATCTAGCCTTTTTGATGTCAAAATTATAATTAAAAAAAGTTTATTAAATAATAAATTAAGTATTAAGTAATTCTTTTAAAAAAAAAAAAATATTTAAAGGTTTGATTTTTTCAAATTGATTTCAATAAGTGCAAAGTTTCAAACAAGTGTTATATAGAAACTTTTTTTTAACTTGTTAACAATAACTAGTATATCCATGATTTATATCCTTCTGAATTACAACTAATAACTCAAAGAAAAGAATCAGATTATATGAATTTGATATATTATTTAAAAATAAAACATGAAAATCTTTAAATTAATTTATTAATAACAAATTAAAATGTTGTTATATTAAAATTTAATATACTTAACTATAGTATAAGCACATTCAATATTTTTAACTAAATAAGTTTTATTGTAAAATATCAATTATTTGTTAATATATATCAAGATTCTAATTCTATTTTATATATTAGTTTTTGAAAATAGAATAATTATACAGTTGACAAGTATCTTGATGACCTAACAAATATTGTATAAAAAAAAAGTAAAATATTTTTCCAAAAAAAAAAAAACCAAAATTATATTTTAATAAATAAACAAATAATAAATAGTATTTCTTTTGTTAAAGTATTTGAAATCTATTAAATTATTAATAAATATAAAAATTTAGTTTTGCTAATATCTTTCTTTATTATTTGAAAATATATTACTTAAAATACAAATACATATATTATATTTTTAAAAATGTTTTAGATTATTACAATAACAATATTAAAAATATATTTTTTGTAGATAAATATTATTTCTTTATTTAATTTTATATATAACAAGATATACTGTTACACCTGATTTTTGCCCAAAATCTTTATTACCTCTTGTAAATTTTTTATTAGCATTTATTCTTGAAATGTTATCTGTTCTAAAATAATCTTGTATTACAGATCTGTTACTATACCTTCAGTATCTATTGCACCTTTATCACTTCTAGAATATTTTTATTTTATTTTATTTTTACTGTCTATATTGTTTTCACCAAAGTATTTATCTATATAAATAATAATACAGTTAAATATTATGATGAAAATAGTATTTATACTTTAGTTTATATTTTTACTATAGCATATATAAAAATAATATAACTCAAACATGTATATAAAGTCTTCAATTTTGCCTTTTTACCTGATCTCATACATCTCAGAATTGTACTAATTTGTATATCTCTAAGAACTTTATCATATCACATTGATCACTTCTATTTAAAGTATCTTCCTGCTACTGGTTCTCTATTTTTCTTTTTCTTCTGAAATAGAAATGATATATGACAAATTGATGACGACTGTGAGATACTGTTTATCTATCTTGAGAAAACTATAAAAAAATGAATCTTAAAGAAGACTGTATAAAAACTTTGTTTATTATTGGAAGTATTTATAGCAAAAAGAAGAATATCAGTGGTAAAATATTTAGAACATCAGGAAATTTTTTAGCAAAAATCTCCGAAAATCTTCGAGTATAGACTTCTGGAAAACTTTCATCATCGTTAAAAGACTCTGGAGCGAAGGTTACTATATTAAACTCTGGAGATCTTTGATTTATTTTAAAAATAATAAAATATATTTATATTTATATATTATAATCTATTAATATTTAATTTTCAATGTTTATTGGCTTTTAAAATTATTTATTATTACATTATGCTTGTTTA